TAAACTCATTCAAAAAGACCTGTGCTTTCACCAAAGCAATCAAAAGCATAACAATGAGAGAAAGATGAAAGTCCATTCTACTAAATTAAATGTGTCTGACACATTTTAACAGCTTTAAGAAATTCATGTGGAAATTTGGAATTTTATATAATAGGCCAAGTATTCATTTCTAAATAAGAAGAAGAACAAGAATAAAAGAACCTCTATTATTTATTTTAAAATAATGAAAGAATAAAATTGCTGTGCATTGTGTTGTAGCAACGCTTGGCTTGCTTTTGTTTTTAAATATTTTTTATTACGATATATAATTTGTTATGATCTGTCCAATATGCAATTCCTGCTTTTGTATATATTATATCTTTTATCCATATATGATCTATTATTTATTATTACGTGTATTGTGTTTTATTATTTATATGTATCCTTCTTTCTCCATTATTATTTGAAGTGGTTTTGCTTCTTCTTTTTGGTAGTCAATATTAAAATCTTCTGTAATTATTACTGGTTTTTTATATATATTTTCTGTATATATTTTTGTAGTTGTTTTATGAATATTTGTATATTTGTTCCAGGTTTTCTATGTAAATTTATTATCTGTAATTTTTAATTTTTTTTTCTAGTGATATATATGACATTGCCATTGTTTCTGTTTTAAAATGTTCCACTATTTCTGATTTGTAGTCATTTGTATGCAATATTGCTATATGTGGGGGTTGTTCATGTATATATGATTTATATTTAATAAAATATAAATCCTCATGTTTTTGGGTTCTTACTTCTTGCATACATATTATATCGGATGTTAATAAATGTGAATCACTCTTTATATCTTCTTGATGTGCAGTAATAGATCTTGTATTTAGAATTTGTATAACTATTTGGTTAGCTATTTTTTCTTTTTGTAAATCTATTAAATCAATTTGCCATGGTGCTTCTGCTGTCATTCTTATTATTTCCTTAACTGCATCTTTATTGATTTTAATATGTTTATGTTCATTTGATCTATATAAATGTCTACCTTTTAGTGTTTATGCTCTTGATAATGCTGTATATGCTTGTTCTGGATATTTTATTTTATATGGGTCATATCTTAATTGCATGACTGTTGATCCTTGTGTTCTATGTATTGTTCTTCTTGCACATGGTTGTACTGGAAATTGGGTTCTACTTATAACATAATTTTTATTTTTAGTAATATTTATTATTCTTGTTAGTTTTTTTATTGGTGTCCAGTTTTTTCATTATTTTGCTTTATTATTATGTTTTCTTTAGCTCTTGATTTTTCACCTGTTTTTATATTTGGGAATTCTATCCACATTATTTGTTCTTGTTCAATCTGGGTTACATCTTGTAATACTCCATCTGCTCCATTTATTAATCCATCTTCTGTTGCTATATTTTGTGTTATTTCAATTGCCATTTTCTTTTAAAATGTAATATTTTATGTACTCCTTGTGTTTTTCTTGTGTCATCTGGCAGTGTGAAATATATAGGACAGGAATTTCCATATTTGTCTTGTGCTTCTATAATTATATCTTTACCTTGTATGTGTTGTATTATTTTTCATTATGTTCTTTTACTTGTTCATTAGTTGCAAATATAGAATAATATTTTGTGTTATATGTATCTGTGGTGACTTGTTATTATAGCTTCTTATCTGTTTGTTCTCCTATTTTTATTTTATTTAAATCTTTTATAAAGATTATATAATCTTTTTGCCTCATTATTTCAGTAAGTTCATAGATTTTAAAATTATTTTTCCATGGGTGGTGTCTTTAGAAGTGAGGCCACGGTGCATTTCTATAAACTTCATTGAGCCTCTGAATTTTGTTTGAATCAACTAGTAGCAAAAATAAAGTACTTCCAAGTGTTGCTAAATCACCTGATACACTCATGCTTTTCATAATATTAAAAAATAAAAACTTTGGCATGTATCCAGCATATAAATCTGGTACAATATGATGATACTGCTCTTCACGCTCTAGATGCATATAGAGCTGTGAAAAATATCTTAGAAATAGAAAATTAAATAGGAAAAAACATTACCATAGTTACGTCCAAAGGATTATAAGAAAAAACAATCTTTATTTTAGGAAAAACACCAATGTTGATTATAACAGCATGTATAGCTTGTGGATAAACTCTAGTAGCCATTAAAGATGAAGTTGGCTTTAGTTGGCAGTAATCTTAGTTTAACATCAAAATCATTTATAATTTGAATGATAGAAGAATCTGTAATATAATAAACTTTTTCTGAACTTCCATGGTGGTAAATTAGGTTTTTCTGTCATTCAATCCATTTGAAGTGAGAGAATTACAATCTTGTTAATTTTTTTTTAAATTACAAATCTTGTAAGTGAGAAACATTTGCCAACCATAAATTTATTATATAATCACACACACATAGATGAATCGCTATATACAGTTAAAGTTTGCAAGCCATGCATATCTATACAATCCATTATATAAATTAAGTATTTTGCACTTCATAGAGTGTTCTGTGCAAGATGAACTATATAAGTTCCATACCTAGGCGAAAAGTAAATCAAAACTACAGAAAAAAAAGGATTTCAAAACCATACATAGATAAAATCTTCAACTCAAGAATCTTGGTTGAATTTACTTTTTCAAAGTTAAGTGATGCAATAGTGGCTTTTAGGATGGTCAACTTTGTCTTTGCTTGTGAAACTACAAAACCAAAAAGAAATAAATCAAGAAATACTAAAGAATAAAGAGAAAAACCAAACCTTCATAATAATTTGTTTCTGTTGACATATCCTCAAGGGGTGACGACTGAACAACATCCATAGCACAATCAAAATTTGACATATCTATATGATTGATTAAACAGAATTACCTTTAGTTAATTTTATTAGTAAAAAGAGCCAAAAATAAACTAGACTTCACTTAAACAAAAAAAACTTTGAGCTAAAAATAAAATCCATCAATTAGGGTTAGGGTAGATAATATACCAATTCCACATGGGACAAACCTTTTCAACCTTTTCATGCACTAACTCTCCTTGTTGTAAACATCCTTGCTAGATACTTCTCATCATCGTCCAAGCTAAAGCTAGAAGCAACTTGACTCCACTCCTCGGCTGCTACAATCTCCCTCCATCTGTTGCTTTAAAAAAGAGGAAGGAATAGGAATAGAAAGATTGTCATTTGCGTGGACTCATGCATCTAAGTCAAAGCCCAATGTTTATGTCATGGTTTCCTCCAAAACTCAAGGTTTGGTCACTGTCCATAAATCGAGCCTCAATTTGCTCTTCCCAATGACTCCTCTTTGAAAAGACTCTCTTTCTTCCACTGATCTTTGTTTTCTAGCAGCCATATGGAGGAAGATCTAAGCTCCATCCATGGATGTGTTCCAGGTTGATTGATTGATTCTGGATCAGTACTGCCTTGGTGGGTTTCTGATCCTGGATCATGGCTCTCAACTCAAACCTTCAGGGAGAGGCAATTCTCAATCAATTCACTAGTTCAAATATGATTTTCTTGACGCTTCCCAGGGACAAGAGCAATCCATTGGAGCTAATGGAGAATACAGTGGCCAGGAACAACAATAGCATCATGATTGATCTCGAGGGGGCCTTGCTCAAATCTCCGAGCTGGTTTCAATACTTCATGCTTGTTGCAATTGAGGCTGGGAGCCCCCTATGAGCACTCCTCCTCTTTTTCATTCTTCCCTTCACATGGATCATTGGCTGCCTCATCCATCCAGCCCTGGAGCTCCAGATTCTCTGCTTCATGGTGGTGGCTGCATTGAGGGCCTTGGCAATGGAACTTTGAGAGCTCCCTTGCAATTGCCATTCTGGACATAGAACCCAACCAATGCACTATACATTATATGGTTTCTTTGGCTCATGCTCCAAAAACCACATATGCTCATGATGATACAAAGTGGTTAGAAAAGTTTATAAATTATAAACATGTTTATAAATTATAAATATGAAATTAATCTAAATGAATAACCACCAGAATATCCTAAAATATTCAAGCATATTCTAGGTATATTCATTACCATCCCTGCTTAAACAAACAAAAAGATAGAGTTATTTTATGAAAGATTTTTTTTACATGACTCACCTCTAATTATAAAAATCAAACAACTCTTCTCACTTATGAAAAATTATAAATTTTTTAATAGTTGCAAAATATACCATTACTATATAAATTAGCCTTCTAAAATCATAACTAGTTGTGAAATTTTTATTGTTAAATAATAATATATTAATCCAGTAAAAATAAAATTAGTTTAGATAAAAACTAAAATATTTTGTTTTAATGAAGTTTTATAAATTACAAAAATATTTATAGTAGTGGGATCATCAAGAAAATTTAAGAATTATAAGGCAAAATATCATCTGGAATAAAAAAAATTTATTACAATATTAAAGGGAGATATTCATCCTTATTCATTACCCATATTAAATTTTAGTTTTAATTAAAATCCTTACTTTCATATTTAATAAGTGTAGCACTCAACTAAAGGAATGATAACTTAATGGAATAGATGTATTAAGGATAAAAATAATTACTTATAGTTTTTGCAAAATCAAACCCATTAGATTTAAGTTCTTTATTTATATTTTATACTTGACTGTTAAGATCTAAATACTAAATTATTGTGTAAGCTCAATTTTCTCAAAAAAAAAGAGAGCTTAAAATAACTAAACATTATAATTTAAAAGCCCTGACAAATTTTAGAGAAAATGCTACAGTCATAAGCAAAATAAGATTTGAGAATAATTTTATATTAGAAAAAAAAACTCATAAAAAGTCACTAAACCATTCAGAAGCAAGAGAAACTCCATAGTACAAATTTAAAGGCTCAAAAAGTGGTAAAAAGTAGTAATATAATATGCCCTAACTTTTGAAAATTCAAACGTTTCACTTTCGTGATTGAGAAAAACGTTGTCTCGGGCTTGACCGCGACTTTGAAATTCGAGTATACAGCCGTCGCAGCGCTGTCGAGCAGCATCCAAGATTTCTGTCATGAATGCTATCATTTGCTATGCTTCGGTCGCATTGCTCCTTCTGCCTTTCTCGCTATGCACACGTGAGGAGACGAAGATCTTACTCGGGTTTAAATCCAGCCTTGATGGAAATGCCACGATCTTAAGCGACTGGAAGAACAGTGGCAGCAATTACTCAAGTCCCTGTGGCTGGGAAGGAGTCGCCTGTAGCAATTCTTCTGTCCGATCGATCCATCTCTCTGGTATGAACTTGCGTGGACGCCTCAGTGGAATCAACAATCTTTGCCAGCTTCCAGCCTTGGAGAGCATCGACCTGTCAAGCAACAATTTCAGTGGAGGATTTCCAGACCAGTTGATCGAGTGTGTCAAGCTTAGATACCTCAACTTGAGCTTCAATGGCATCTCTGGTGAGCTTCCTGCGTCGGGCTTCCGCAATCTTAGCCGGCTGCTGGTGCTTGATCTCTCGCGGAATGGAATACAGGGACAAATCCCTTGGGACATGATGCGCATAGAGACCTTGCGACTACTTGATCTCTCCAGGAACAACCTGAGTGGCACTATTCCCTGGAACATCAGCATGATCAATCTAAGAATGTTGTCCCTGGCAAAGAACAAGCTAACTGGAGAAATACCTGGTGAGTTTGGCAGACTGTCCAGGCTCCGCGAGCTCCAGCTGTGGAAGAACATCCTTTCGGGGAGGATTCCTCTCGCATTTTCTCAGCTCAGGCGGTTGGAAGTGTTGCGACTAGCAGGGAACAACCTGAGCGGTGGCATCCCCGTGGAACTGGCCAGGCTTCCCAGCTTGAGACGCATTTCGGTCTTTGAAAACAGACTTGGCGGTGAGATCCCACAAGAGTTTGGCCTCCACTCTGCGCTGGAAGACTTCGAGGCAGCACTGAACGGTTTAACTGGTCCATTACCAGCAAATCTTTGTCGAGGTGATCGCCTCAGCTTCGTCGGTCTGGATGGAAACAATCTCTCCGGCAGCATTCCTCCTTCATACTCCAACTGTACAAAACTGGAAGTCTTCTATGCACCCAGCAACCAGCTCGAAGGGACCATTCCCGCCAGCTTTTTCACTCCAAGTCTACTGGCCCTCAACCTCTGCAGTAACCAGCTCCATGGCAGCCTTCCGGCGAGCATCGGCAACGCTACATCACTTGCCTTCCTCGGAATTTGCAACAACGAGCTCAGTGGAGAGCTTCCTGCTGGACTTGCAAACCTGGTTGATCTGCTGGACTTCTCCGCAGGAAACAACAGGTTCTCGGGCTCCATCCCGCCAAGCTTGTTCTCTAGACCGGTCATGCTGGATGTCTCCGGCAACAACTTCAGTGGAGAACTTGGCATCGACAACAGCAGCAGCCATCTCGTCTTCATGGACTTGAGCAGGAACCAGCTCACTGGAAGCTTGCGAAGTGAGCTCTGTGGTTTCATCAACATGCACGTACTCAGCCTGGCCTTCAACCATCTCGACGGCTTCATTCCAGACTGCCTTGGAAACCTGTCCTCGTTGCAAATCCTCGACCTCTCGCACAACTCTTTGCGAGGAGAGTTCCCAAGTGAGCTCCAGGGACTCCGAGGATTGCAAGTCGTCCCTCAAGGCAACAGGCCGGCGTTCCCGTTCTTCCCAAGAACCACCGACTGGAAGCCTTTTCTAGCGCAGTGGACTCAGATGTTTGGAGACTCGGTATACTTCGACTGGAGGACGGCATTCCTAGATAGCCGGAACTTGTTCCGGCAAATGCAAGGCTACTCCATCCTTGTCGACTGGAAAGGAACGTTTCGGCTGGTTGGAGATGTATTTACCACCACCACCACCATAGATGTGTCGTCCAACAGGCTCACGGGCTCCATTCCACCAGAGCTGGGAAGACTCATCGCCCTCCGGAGCTTAAATCTCTCGTTCAACAGCTTCTCTGGAGGAATTCCTGGCGAGATTGGTCAGCTCCAAAACCTGGAATCCCTGGATGTATCCAGCAACCACTTATCTGGCCAGATTCCATCCTCGCTCACTAACCTTGGATACCTGGCCAGCTTCAATGCCAGCAGCAACGATCTGCGAGGAAGAATCCCAAGCGAGAATACCTTCAACACCAGATTTCCGGCGTCGTGCTTCCAATCGAACAGCGGTCTGTGCGGATTACCCCTGATCAAGAGCTGCGGCGACACCAATGCGGAAGAAATGGCGGCGCCACATGCCACAGATATTTCGGTCGAGGCATTTGCAATCGGCACCCTCGCCGGCTTCGTGTCCGCGCTGGCCGTGACTCTGTTCTTTTATCGCCCATAAGAAAAATATGTTTTTGTCCGCCTGAAGTAAGCTATCTCTTAAAATCATAGAGATATTTGTTCATTCAGGACAATTATTTTTTATTTCTTTAAATTGTATTTATATATTATATTAGAATTTAGATTTAAAATATAAATATTTGGAAGCACTCAGTATTTATTCAAGCCACAAATGTTTAACTGATTTTGAAGAAGAGGATGTAATTTGAAGTTGGCCATCACAACAATTAATGACTGACAATAACATTTAGCCAATCCATGAAGGACCATTTAGTGATGAACTGATAAGTTTTATAATTAGAATAAACTCAATAGTTAAACATACACTATGAAATTAAGTGTTATTTATATTGGAAAAGTAGATACAGAAAATTAATCTTTTTAGTAAAACCAAGCCTCAATCTGATTGTGGATATGATGGGTTGGAGGTAATGCAAATAAAATTGCGTTTATGATCCACATGTAACCTTTCGTTTCACAAAGAACTGCCATGGCGACTCGACCGGGCCATAACCTCTGCCCGTCTTCAAATTGAATCGCAATTCCCAAAGATTCCACTATGAATCTATGTTATGTTTCGTGCGCAGTGCTTCTCCATTCACTTCCGCTGTTCTCACTGTGCATGCAGGAGCAAGACGAGAAGTTAGTCTTGCTCAAGTTTAAATCCAGCCTTGTTGGAAGTACCATCTTAAGTGACCGGAAGAACAATGGCAACAATCCGTGCGGCTGGACGGGAGTGGTGTGTCGCAATAACTCTGTTGGATCGCTCCATCTCCGTGACACGAATTTGGATGGACGACTCAGTAGTGGCATGGACAGTCTTTGCAAACTTCCAAACTTGGAGAGCATTGACCTGTCCAACAACAACTTTAGTTCGAGTGCGTGAAGCTTGCATACCTCAACTTTGGAAATCCTCCACTAAAGTTGTTGTTGGACAAGTCAATGCTCTCGAGTTTGGAAGCTCACCATTGTAGCTCACCCGACCTGGGCAAGTCGACCATTGTAGATCACCACTACCAGCGAATGCTTGCCGAGGTGCTGTTGCTAAAAACCAGCTATCTGGCAGCATTCCTCCAACTGTACAAGACTGGAAGGCATTCTTGGCGCAGAGGAACGAACTCCAAGGAACGATTCGAAGCAGCTTGTTCTCTCCAAGGCTGTTGGTTCTCAACCTCTGCAATAACCTGGCAGCCTTCCAGCGAGCATCGCCAATGCTACATCCCTTGTGAACTTCGGCAATGCGCTCAGTGGAGAGCTTCCCGCTGGACTTGAAAACCTGCGAGACTTGCTGGACCGCTGGCAATAACATCTTCTCAGGCCCCATCCCATAGAACATCTTCACCAAACTAGTCAAGTTGGATCTCTCTGGTAGCAATTTAACCGGAGGCCTTGACATCGAAAACAGCACCTATCGTCTCGCCTTCATGAACTTGAGCAGAAAAAAGCTGACTGGAAGCTTGCCAGATGAGCTGTGTGGCTTCGTCAACATGGACATACTCAGCTTGGCCTTCAACCATCTCAGTGGATCCATCCCAGACTGCAAATCCTGGCCTTACGAGGAGGAATTCGCTTGCAAGTTGTTCCACCAGGCAACAAACCGGCCTTTCCGTTCTTCCCCAGAACGACTGAGTGGAAATCATATGTTCACAGTGGACTCACGCAAATGGAGATGCAATATACCAAGAGTTTGCTCGCAACCGGGCTTCCTTCCTTGACACTGCCATTCTTGTCGACTGGAAAGGAGTGTTTCGTACAGTGGGAGGCTTCTTCACCATCACCACCACCATAGACGTGTCGTCAAATAACTTGAGTGGCACCATTCCTCCAGAGCTGGGAAAAATCATCGCACTCCGGAGCTTCAATCTCTCTTTAAACAGCTTCTCTGGAACCATCCCTAGCGAGCTTGGTCAGCTCGAAAGCCTGGGATCCCTAACCACTTGCAAGGTGAGAGCTCACTAACCTCGGATACCTGGCCAGCTTCAATGCCAGCAGCAATGATCTGCGAGGAAGAATAGCGAGAATACCTTCAACACCAGATTTCCAGCGTCCCGACGACGGATTTCCAGGTTTCCAGCGTCCTTTTACCCCTGATCAAGAGCTGCGGCGACACCGATGCCAAAAAAGAAGCAGTGGCGCCTCACGCAGGATACATTTCACGCGAGGCATTCGCAGCCGGCGTCCTCGCCGGCTGCCAGCCCTCACGCTGTTTCCATAACCCTAAAATAAATAGGATATACTTTTGCGCGCCAAAAAGATTTTTTTGTGGATGAGGCTGTGGCGTCGAGCCGTCGGATGCAAATCGAAGCAACGCCAGTCGTCCGATGGCGGATGAGGCGAGCGAGCACCACACAACTTTGAAATTTAGGGCTCTCTAGCGAGAGGGGTAGAGGCAATGGCGTGCGCGATCCCATCCATGACGATGGCCGGAGCTTCCCGATCCAGAAGGTGCGTCGCCAGCCCGAGCGGCAGCTGCGAATTCTCCAAGCTGCGCCGCTCGGATTTCGTCGGCGGCGGCGAGCTGTGCGGCGAGCTCGAGAGCAGGGCCAGCCGGGGACGCTCTGTGGCGGTGTGCAGCCTCAAGGATCTCCGCGATCGCATCGACACGGTGAAGAACACGCAGAAGATCACCGACGCCATGAAGCTGGTGGCGGCGGCCAAGGTGCGTAGAGCCCAGGAGGCCGTGGTGAACGGCCGCCCCTTTTCCGAGGCGCTCGTCCAGGTGCTCTACAACGTCAACGAGAGATTGCAGCTCGAGGACGTGGACACTCCTCTCACCAAAGTGAGGCCCGTGAAGAAGGTCGCGCTCGTCGTCGTCACTGGCGATCGAGGCCTCTGCGGAGGATTCAACAACACAGTGCTCAAGAAGGCCGAGGAGAGGATGCGGCAGCTCAAGGACACTGTGGAGCTCACGGTGATCAGCATTGGAAAGAAAGGCAATGCTTACTTCACGAGGCGGCCATACATCCCACTGGACAAGACGTACCAGACCGGCTCGGCTCCCACAACCTCGGAGGCCCAGGCCATCGCCGACGAGCTCTTCGCGCTGTTCGTGAGCGAGGAGGTGGACAAGGTGGAGCTCCTCTACACCAAGTTCGTGTCGCTCATCAAGTCGGAGCCAGTGATCCACACGCTGCTGCCGCTCTCTCCACAGGGACAGGTCTGCGACATCAATGGAAACTGTGTCGACGCGGACGAGGATGAGATGTTCCGGCTTACCACCAAGGACGGCAAGCTCACGGTCGAGCGTGATACGTTCAAGACGGAGGTGACTCCGTTTAGCGGGGTCATGATCTTCGAGCAGGAGCCCGTCCAGATCCTCGACGCGCTGCTGCCACTCTACCTCAACAGCCAGCTCCTGCGAGCGCTGCAGGAGTCCGTGGCCAGCGAGCTCGCCTCGAGGATGAACGCCATGAACAACGCCAGTGAGAATGCCTCGGATCTCAAGAAGGCCCTGTCCATCAGTTACAACCGGCAGCGACAAGCCAAGATCACTGGAGAGATCCTCGAGATCGTTGCTGGATCTACAGCACAAGTATAAAAGAATTTTAGCAGCTTCAAGGAAGAACCAAGTAAGTACCTTGATCATCGCTTTGTCGTCCAGTGCTGGAAATTTTTAGCCACCGGCCAGCAGCCATTTGCGAGGAGCTATGTAAATTCTCAAGGAAGAAACAAACACAACTCATCAGTCGACAAAAAATTTCCCGTTATTAAATTTCAAGGCATCGCTGTGATAACAGTAAATAACTTACGTGTCCAATATACAACCAGCCTTTGTCTTTTCGTTCTCACGATTCGGTGAGAAGCCTGTACAACAACAACAAAACTATTTCTCGTATCTTCGCGTACCAGTTCTCAAAAGAGATGGTTGAGGAAGAGGACCAGCCATGCGGTCATCGTAAACACGGCGCATATGTGCTCCCAGAACAAAACTGCCGATATTTCTTTCTCTCCATGGCCCTGAATGCTTGCCACGGTTCCTGGTAAAAGCGAGTCGCATAAGAGACTGGATAGAATTTTAGCACTGACTTACCAGCTAGAATCGACGATGGCATCGAGTGTTGCAAGAGAAGAACGAAGCGGAAGAGTTTGTTCTGAGCGGGGATGAGGCTCAGTCGATCTGCCCCCTCCACGACAAGTAATCCGATCGCTGGCATGACTAGAAGCCTCACAACCGTGATCGTAACGGTTGTTTTCATGCCAAGGCTGGACGCTCCCGGGCCTGCCATCGCACACCAGCAGTTAGGAAAAGGACACAGGGTCTTAAAGATTAGAATGTGTGTACCTTTAGCAAGGCTTGCACCGAGGACGAGCATCATGCAAGGCACCATCGCCGACCTGTGTGGCATTTAGACGTGGCGTTTAGATTCAACTGAACGAGCGTTATTTAGAAGCGTACCCCGTTATGTTCAAGGCGTCAGACAGAAAAAACAGCGCTCCATCGTCATCCAAGAAGAGGTACTTCAAAAATGGTATTGCTCCTACGACAAGGGCCAGGATCTAAAGACACCTCGCGACTTTGAGAAAGCACGATGGAAGAAAAGCATACTTACTGAAGCGTTTATCGCTGGCTGCATGACACTCCTGAGAGTTGCTAGGAACTTCCTCAAAAGTGCATGCTGCAAAGAAACGTCACTCGTCAGTGCGTGTTTGACAGAGGATAAAAGACTCTTGAACCTTGTTATGTGCGGGATCCTTCCACTCATCTTCTGCATACGCGGTAAGCTGCGGGTAGTCTTTCACCACAGGAACCTCGAGGGGATTCACAACTGCGGTCTGGCCGTTGATTTTTATCACCAGAGGCTCCGTCAAGTCACATTCTTGAATGGCGGTGGTGTCACCTTTCGGAGGTCTCAGCATGCGCATCACGAACGTATATGCTATCACCGCTCCAACCTGCACGCGTTTGCTCAGAAAGCGAAGCAAATAAAGATATGAAAACAACTTATTACCCATTGACCAAACGATATGTAGGCCACGGATTGCGCATTGCACGTCGCGGGGTCGCCAAAAGGATTCTCGTCGTCACGACACACGGCTCCAAGCAGCACAAGAGGGATGTTCCCGATATTCCCTGGCAAAAGTCACAAAGAGAAGTTAGAAAGAGTCACTTACGAGAGGTTAGATTATGCATAAACTCGAGTGAAGCTAGCAAGTATAACGCACCAACACCGATCATAACAATCGTCAGATTGAAAAACTCTCGAGGAGGTTTGATGATGACAGCCACAAGCCATCCAAGCGCGCAGCCAAGAATTGTAGCGAGCAAAACATTCACTGGAATGAACCACCTACATCACAGGATCACCACATCAGCATCGATCAAACATTAAGAAACTACAATCTTCAGACCGACCATTCGAGCATTTTCTGCAACGTCACTGCCGATCCAAGCTTCGTGAAGATTAAGCAAGGTAGAAACAGAGTAAAAACAAGCTACATTAAGAACAAAGCAAAGTGTTAAGCACGGCGAGAGCACGACAGAAAGGGACACACAAAATTTTTCGCGCACCTTGCTCAGTTGCTTCCTGGTGTTCGCCGTGAGGATATTGATCCGCGGTGACGCCATAATCGCTCCCAGCGCGCACATTACAAGGACCTTGGCGATCGGCATGAGCGAGAAATCCAGGAGCCGCGTTATCGGCTCGTTCTGCTGCTCCATGCCCGCACGGAGCGCTCGAAGCACTGCGAATCCGGCTCCTACCATGGCCGAAGCAAGGGAAAGACGACGATGACGAAAATATTCCAAGAAAATCAGAACGCCATCGCGGAGAACAAGAAGAGAGTAGAATCGCAAGCGCGATTCCAGAGAAGAAGACGATCGATCGACTTTTGCGCGGGCAATGCGCAAAAATCGGGACAACGGAGAGCGCACGATTCTTCTCCCCCCCGATTAAGCAGGGGTCCCTCTATAATAGACCTAAATCCGCGAGTTCTTAGAGCCGGAGAGTAAAATATTCGTTTGCCCTTGTGACGTGTCAGGTAATTCACCATATAACACCGCCAAACACTACTTTATTTACGTGGTGGTCCAAAGCGGACAATAGGGATCAAACCAGGTGTCAACTCTTTGCTGGTCTCCTTTACACGTATACCGGTTGTTGGATCGATTCTCATCCCCCACATTTGACCGGTCCACAATAGGCAAGGGTATATCCCAGATGCCTTTAAGAAAGAAGTTTCTCCAGAAAACTTCAAATGCAAATCCATCCATGTAACTCTTTAGGCAGAAAGTCCATTTTGTTCTATACAAACGCTGCGTTTCTCCTCAAATCTCTTCCTCTCGTCAGCGAAACCACCACTCTCTGATCGAATTTACAGTGCCTGATATGATCTTGGCCGGGACGAACGAGCTCACAACTCCGATGATGTCCGTGTCGTTCTATTCCTTGAGCTTGAGCGGTCTGGCCTCGAATCCCCCCTCGGCTCTCTCCTCCAGATTAAACGGCATATGAGTCCCCAGGATCTTATCCCACATCACGAAGAAAGGCTGCGAGAAGTTATACTTGGTGCCGAAGAGCTGGTGGTGGATGTCGTGGTAAGCAGCGTTGTTCCGGAAGATGGTGTGGAAGGGATTCCCCGGGATCATGATCCCGCAGTGATCATCCACCGTCTTGATCGTCGCGAACGAGAAGAAGAAGACCGCTGTTCGTGGTGTCATACCCGAGGCGAGAAACGAGAGCGCGCCCCCGACCGTGTCGAGCAAGAGGCCCTCGAGAGGATGGTTGTAGAGGGCGCCGAAAGCGTAAGGCACGACGAGCCGGTGGTGGTGAGAGTGGACGTGACGGTAGAGGAACTTGTTGACGTGCATCAGGCGGTGGACAAAGTACTGCCAAGTATCCATCACCAGCATCGCAACCACGAACTGGAAGAGTTGCATCGCCAGCGGTGGCTGGACGGGATTTTTCTCGTCGCTCGGCTTCTGAGATGTGATCTGCAAAGAATAAGGTTGAGTGTTAGAACTATCGGAGGAATAAAAATCAAACTTTGCAGCACCAGATCAAGGACAAGAAGGTAACCGAGCTTTCAAGAGTTTGAAATAAAGCAAAAAACTCCATCCAACTCGCTAAATCTACCGAGAAACTCCACCACACTATCTAACTAGCGGAAGTTTTAACCAAAAATAAATAAATAATTTGGACAGGAAAAAAAAATCGTTCGGAAAAACAGTGCTTTCACGAAACGAAACACTAACGAGAATGGCCAGGAATTTGACAACGAACGCTACCTCACATTTTCCACAAAAGAGATAGAGATCTCACCGAGAAGAGCAAAATCGCCATAGACGCTTGAATTCCCTGCTGGAGCAGCACGCCTTTGATGACTGTCGGCATAGTCACCAGATTTCTGCTACTTTCCTTGCGTGAGTGAAGCCTCAAGTGATCCAGCGGAGGCAGCAAGTGGTAAAAACCGGCATAAACCCAGTAGACCACCAACGGCAGCACCGTTCCCATCAATTCATCGCTTGCATAGCCTTCCCAGAACACCATTCTTGCTGAAAATCCTTGAAATTCGTCACAAATCCTATGCCCTGCTCCCAAATTCTAAAAGCCCCGCTCTAGGCGCTGTTCATCGATTCGCGATATCCGTGCTCGCGGATCACCCAAGAACACACCTAGCATTGCCTGCCTGCGGGTCGCATCGATCTTATAGGGTAAAATCGCAGGCTCTCAGCTCCAATACCACGCGCATCCTTCTCCCCACAGCGAAGAACCCTAGAGGCGGTCAAGAAAGAGAGGTTAAACCAGCTTATTTAGATTGTCTGTTTAACTACCGCAACACCCAACAAGTCCAAGGCTCGAAGCCGGCGAGCGTTACGCCCATCCGTCGATTCCCGTTCCTTTGGTGCTGTGTCCCTAGGGTTTCTTTCTCTCTTCTTCTTGCATCGCCCGCTCGCCCATAGCTAGGGCTCGCCGATCTCTCCTCTCCCCCACCGCATCCTGGCGCGACCGATCTCCTCGCCTTGTCGCGGCGCGAATTGGCGCGATGCAGCAGCATTTCGACCGCGGTATGCCGGCCGTATGATCGTCACTCTTCCTTGTTCGTTCCGGGCATTCTTGGGGGGCTACATTTGTCCCACAGCGTGTTGAATCCCCGCTCGGCAAATTTTGGAAGCATCACGAATCCAAATCCAGAGCAAGCAACAAAGCTGGTTTTTATATTCGAGAATTTCTTCTTTACTGGGAGCTGGATCCATCGTTGAGAGAAAAGAGAGATGCTGGAATCCACTCGGGCAGCGGCATTAGCGAGCAGAATGGACTCTCCTCCCCGAGCTTGTAAGTGTTAAATTCCCCATGGCTCAAAAGGTAGATCCTCCCGGTGGCATCGCTCATCCCGGCAAGCACTACTACATGCTCTGGCGCAGCTTGTTCGAGATAGATCAGAGGTATGCGCCGATCAAGCCGATTGGCAAGGGAGCTTACGGCGTTGTGTGCTCGGCCACAAACTCCGAGTCTGGCGAGAAGGTGGCGATCAAAAAGATTACCAACGCGTTCGAGAACACCACGGACGCGCGGAGGACTCTGCGAGAGATCCGGCTTCTCCGCCATCTTTACCACGAGAACATAATTGGGATCAAGGACATCATGAAGCCGGTGGGAAGATCGTCATTCAACGATGTCTATCTCGTCTACGAGCTCATGGACACGGATCTACACCAGATCATCAGATCCTCGCAGGCATTGACGGATGATCACTGCCAATACTTCATCTATCAGGTACGTAGCTAGCAAAAAAGCTCCTTTTGTTTCAAAGTGCTAAGAGCTCGTTTCAAGCAGCTGCTACGAGGACTCAAGTATGTCCACTCGGCTAATGTTCTTCACCGGGATCTCAAGCCCAGCAATCTCCTCCTGAACGCGAGCTGCGATCTCAAGATCTGTGACTTCGGCCTGGCGAGAACTGGCAGTGACAAGGGCCAGTTCATGACCGAGTACGTTGTCACGCGGTGGTACCGAGCTCCGGAGCTCCTGCTCTCGTGCGAAGAGTACACGAGCGCGATCGATATGTGGTCAGTGGGCTGCATCTTTGCGGAGCTGCTGGGCCGGAAGCCAATCTTCCCGGGCAAGGACTACATCCACCAGCTCAAGCTCATCATCAACACGATTGGATCGCCCGAGGAGGACGACCTGCAGTTCATCCTGAGCAACAAGGCCAGGAGCTACATCCGCTCGCTGCCGTTTGCTCCAAAGATCCCGCTGGAGCGCCTCTATCCGAGAGCCAATCCACTGGCGCTCAACCTCATCGACCAGATGCTCGTGTTTGATCCGAAGAAGCGGCTCACGGTCACAGACGCGCTGGAGCATCCGTATCTCTCGATGCTCCACGACGCGGCGCTGGAGCCATCGGCATCCGCGGCGTTCGAGTTTGATTTCGAGGATGAGGAGCTCCGAGAGGACGCGCTAAGAGAGAAAGTATGGAACGAGATGTGTTACTACCACCCAGAGGCTACCAATGAGTATAGCTAAAAGAACAAAGAGAAATAGAAAACATCAAGAACTTCCAGGTCTCAAGAACCCTAACCGTTGTCCGACGTGGTGTGACAGCGCGGAGTGACCATGCTGACGTGGATTGGATAGCATTAGGGTTTCTTGTTATTTATCTTCTCTTGATCGATGGTGGAGGAGCTCGATTTCGATGTGGAGATCGGCAGCGCGGGCATTGGCGATGGCGGCGACGAGGATTTCGATGAGGAGTACGAGGATCTCTACGACGATGTAAATGTAGGGTTCTTTCCCCAGGAAGCGGCTGCTCCTCCAGCTCGTCCAGCGCCATCGCCAGTAGCGGCAGCGCCAGGGAAGGGATCTGGTGAGCTCTACCCCAGGGACGAGCAGGACAGCACGACAGCGCCGGCTAGGGTTAATGCGGCGCCAGAGAGTTTCAGCAAGGATGAAGATCCTCCCATTGCCACTGGCGAGAGCGCTGCTCCAGCAGCTCCTATCGATTCTTCGCCAGGGATTCTCGCTCGGCCGCCACCGCAGCAGCAGCAGTTCGTGGATGCGAATGCGAAGGCGGGGATTTTCATCTCGGAGCTTCACTGGTGGACGACAGACGCCGATCTGGAGGCCGCGCTGGCGGATTTCGGGCGGCACAAGGGGCTGAAATTCTCCGAGGAGAGAGCCAGTGGCAAATCCAAGGGCTACTGCCAGGTTGAGTTCTACGATCCACTCGCGGCCCAGCAATGCAAGGAGCAGCTCAATGGCAGGATTTTCAATGGGCGCCCTTGCGTCGTCCAGTACGCCACGCCCCAAGTCCTCAAGCAAGTAAACGCGAAGAGCCAGAGCCAGAGCCAGCCATCGCAAGCAGCGCAAGCTCCACAGCAAGGCCAGGCCGGGAAGAAAAATAGCGGCGGTGGCGGGGGTGGTGGCGGCGGTGGTAGAGGACGAGGACGCGGCCGTGGTGGTGGTGGTAACAATGGACAACTTCCGCTAGGAGGAATGGGGCTGTTTGGGGATCCGGGCTTTGTTCCTCCGATGAGACCGGGCATTTTCGGGATGGGATTCATGCCGCGGGGTCCTGCGTATCCGATGCACTACCCGGGCGTGCCGCCACCTCACGTAAATCCAGCGTTCTTCGGACGGGGCGGAGCAAACGGGCACGCGATCGCGAATGCTGGAGGGTGGAGTAGCGGCGGATGGGAGGAGAGCGAGCGGGGCGGCGGTGGCGGGTATGGTTTCGAGGACGAGGATGGCCGAGGTAGCGGCAAAGAAACCGGCAAAGCTTCGCGGGATCACAAGGATGGAAAGGATTTGGATCGCGAGAAAGAGAGGCAGCAACACAGGGACAGTAGAGATCGGGATCACAACGCTAACAAGCCCAGCAGCCATAGCTACAAATCGAGAGAGAAAGGAGAGGATTATAGCGACGAGTATAGCAAGAGGCGGCGCCACTGACAATGCTTTGCGAAGATCATCTATGGTGATCGATACTACTACTAATTTTTTCGTTTGGCCTTTCGTATGACGTGAGTAGGTTATAAACCCTAAATCCTCGCATATTTTCAATGTGCCATGGCGGTCCCTCGCCTCCTCGACACTTGTTGCGCGGCCATATCCAATGGCGTCTTCCAGCGCTCGTTCTTCCGTCGATCGAGAGGGATAGCGGCTTGTTCGTTTCGATCCAGGTATTCCTTGGCAGCTGCTGCTGCTGCTGCCGCGGCGCCGAAATCCAAGAAGCAGCGCAATGTCCCGACGCTGCTGGAGATCGAGGCGCTGGCGGTGGAGGAATCGCAATCGCCGCGGCTGGAGAGGGGCCAGGTCGTGAATGCGCTGCTGTCGCTGCTGGAGCGCCATGGGATTCCTTCACGGTACGCTTTCGAAGTTCTCAGGGAGGCCGACGAGATTATCAGCGCCTTGCAAGAGGAGCAAGAAGATGCTACATTTTCCGATACGCACGATCCGCGCAGCAATCTTTCTTCCCAGGCACCGAGAGCTGCCGAGAGCGGCGTCTCGACAGTGCTGGCCCGTGCCGAAGAGAAGAATTTCTCCAAGCTGGTTTCCTACTTCCACAAGCTCGGGATCAAAGCCTCGGATGTGTCAAAGGTGATGCCGTTCGTTCTAGAGTCGGGCGTAGAGCCAGTGGACACAATGGTGGAGTTTCTCCAAGGCGTTGGTGTCAAGTACAACTCCTTGGCTAGAGTGATCGTGGCGTGGCCCAAGATTTTCCACCATCACCCCAACGATCTAGCTCCCGCTGTCGTGGTACTCAACCGGCTCGGTTTCACGTCCATGAGCCTCTCGAGTTTGGTGGCGAGAGCTCCACTGCTGCTCTCGAGAAGCGCGGATGATCTCACTCAGTGTGTCACGTACATGGCGAGCATTGGCTTGTCTCGCAGAGACACGGAAAGGCTTGTCAACCGGTATCCATCGGTTCTCATGGATGGGGAAAAGCTGAAAAGCCTGGTAACTTATCTGGAAAGCATTGGAGTTCGGCAAACCAGCATCGGACGGATCATCTCCAGAAAGCTTTCTCTTCTCGAGACGGACGCTCAGGGTCTGGCTCCCTTGGTAGATTTTCTAAAGAGCACCAACGCCACCGCCGACGACATCAATAAGATTCTCTATCTGTATCCAGGACTTCTGGGATACAGTCCTGAGGTGAGAAGCTCTGCCATTTTCTCTAGTAATCACCCTGAGCTTGATTTGCAGGCCCTTCGCCGAGTAGTGTCTTTTCTCGAGAATCTGGGCGTGCCACCATTGCTGATGGGAAAACTGCTTAGAAGACACCCGCGACTGCTGGCGATCAAGCATGACATGCAGGAGAGAGTTGAGTTTCTCTTCAGCTTGGGCCTAGTGCGCAAGGACCTTGGCAAAGTGAGTATAGTTTCTTTAAAGTATCTGTGCTGTTGAAAGTATTGCAGGTTTTGTTTAAAGCTCCGCAGCTGATGACTCTTCACATCAAGGACAACATGATACCGACCGTGCGCTTCCTTGCGAGTCTCGGTGTTGATGTCGTCAGGGTCTGTGCAGTCATTCGTTCACGTTTCCATCTACCTAACGGATTTTCAACTTTCGCAAGGTTATGCGGTCCAAGCCAATGGTTCTGGGCTTGAACGTGGAAACCAAGATCCGTCCGAACCTCAAGTTCATACAAAATCTAGGCATTGACTCGGAAAGCATCGGCAAGTAAGCAGCACTTTGCCGGGCCCTTGCTTGACTTCTGAATAACTTCCCTCTCGTGATGACAAGGGTGCTCAGCCTCATTTGCTGACTTTGAGCATCGACAAGAAACTACAGCCAACTGTGTGCTTCTTCCTGGATTTCAAAGGCAAGTGTTACAACAAAATCTCTTCGTTCTTTATTTGTGTGGTCCTGCATGCAGGAAGGAAATTTCCGACATGGTGAAAAGATTGCCATCGCTCCTGGGCTTCAGCATCGCGACGCTTCTGGTTCCCAAGTACGAGTTTTTCATGAAAGCCATGCATCGGCCTCAGCGCGAGCTCGTTCATTTCCCTCAGTTCTTCAGCTACAGCCTCAACAAGAGGCTCATACGCCGGTTCGAGCGCCTGGGGAAACACTTTCACGAACAAGGTCTGAGTAGCGTGTATAGCTGTAGTGACTTGGTTTTCGAGGAGAGGTTCGCAGAATTTTTGGAAAAGTCCAAGTCGCCCGAGAGCAACACCAGGGATTGTAAGCAGCAAGGAGCCATGTGAAGCTTTGCGAGCGGGCACACGCCATCAACGTCAAGGTCCAAGCACAGCATCTTCAATCCTCGTTTATTACGCTCTCATTCAAACGCTGACATTTGTTTTCGCTTGCATTTGTCTAATGCTTTCTTCCAGGGCCCGTGGCAGGAAATTAAGACAGCTTTGCGTTGTTGCTGTCGTCGCCGGCCCTTGCTGCTGTCAGGGAACATGAAACGGATCTTCGAGCCACTGCTGTTAAAGTCGGCAGCTACAGCGTTGCTGTTGCTGCTCGGAGCCAGAGTAGCCAGGATCGATGATCTTATTTTAGCGGCGAGTGAATTATATAGAGTTTACAACAGCAACAGGTACACTATATTTCTTCGCTCTTCTCCTTAGCCGCTCACTGACTGACCCGTTTTCTTTTCCTGATTTCAACTCTCAACCAGGTGTCCGATCCATTGACTGCCGACATGTGTCACACAGCAACCTGTAGCAAAAAACCGGATCGAGCCATTTAACTTCGACGGATTACTTTTTCGGACAGACTCAAGCCTCCCTCAGAGCTAGCAGCCAGGCACAGCACCATATACAGGGAAAGCATCCACAGCCCAGTGCGCAGCAGCAGCAACTCCTGCTAGAGATAATATCGAGATACTATTAAGGCGCCGACAAAGCCTTGCCCGAGATGTTGGAGAGTCCGACAACGACACCACCGAAGAAGAACAGTGGCCCGAAATTCCGGGCGTCGGCTTTAGCAGCACTCCCAGGCCGACGCAGCGACCAGGGGCCGACTGTGCCACCCAAGCGTGAGGCAGCCATCTTTCTCCTCCACCCGGTATCCGTCCCCCGAGAAGAGCGTGAGCAGCATGTTGGCCTGCTTGAACGCGTTGGAGCCGAGATACAGCGGCTGGAAGCCCGACCTCGCCATCCGGATCCGCCACTGCGTCAGCGTCTCATGCCGCTCGGTCCGCGCGGCACCCTCGCAGGCAACGATGTTACCAATCTCCTGTCCCAGGTACGTCTCGGCTACCATCTGTTCCACACTCCCGGGAGCTAAGTTGCAGGCCTCGAGCGAGTCGAACATGGTGGAGTAGTAGTGGAGTGCCGCCATGAAGCGCTCCATGAACACCGGACTGTTGTGATCGGCGTCCTGCTCCACCAGCGTCACGATCTTCGGCTTCAAGTTACGTACCAGCCGGAGAACCTCGTCGATAGGACTGGACCGACGGCCTCCGCCACCATTGCCGCCAGCCGCCGGATTCCCCCCATCCGACGGCTCCTCGACGAGCGCCTTGTGCATCTGGAACACCGAGTTGACGGCCACAGCCTCGCCGCGACGCACGGTAAGCATCCAGGGCTGGACGTCGTTGAGCCGCGCGGCAACCACGCCGTGGAACGCAAAGTCGACGTTGACAGAGTCGGCGAGCTGCGCGAGCTTGAGACCGATCTCATGGAGGAGGTCGTGGCGGTGGGGCTGCGGCGGGCCGATGCCGGTGAGGCGGAGCGTTGGCGGACCGCCGGGGCGGAGGGCCAGCGCCTGGATGAGAGCCGGCCACTGGAGGCCATACTGGAGGTCCAAGTCCACGACGTGGACGCTCTTGTGGCCCTCGAGCGCTTCCAGGATGGCCTGGTTGGCGGTGAAGTGCGCGAACTTGAGGTACGGACACGTCTCGTAGAAGTGGAAATGTAGGATCTCATCCATGGCGCCGTTGTTGGTGTTTCCAGGATCGCTGCTCTCTTCTTTGAATTGCTGCTGGCGCTGCTGCTGCTGCTGAGACTGGTGGTGATGATACTGGCGATCTCCGCCACCACCAACACCGCCGCCACCATTGTAGCAGCTGTTTTGGATCCTCCTCGAGAGGGCCTCCACGAACTGGGTGGCGACGCGAGCCATGGCGCTGCTGCTGCTGCTGGGGTGCGCGACGAGCATCCGGAGCTGCGCCACCATGTCGCCGGCGGCGGCGAGGTCCCCGCGCTGGACGGCGTTTGCGCAGGCGAGCAGGAGGTGGACGAGGCGGACACCGCTCAATTCGTCGCTCTCCTGGATGGTGGGCATGGCGGCGGCTGACGCCATACCGCCGGCGGCATGTGGCGGTATGCCGTGGGGTGACGTCGATGAGGAAGAGCCTGATGCCGGCCTCGGTGTGGTGGAAGCAGCAATTTGCGAGTGAGATGCTACTACTCCTACCTCGTTCTTGCTAAGATCCATCTGGTCGGCGTAGAGCACGTTTGGATTGAAGGCGGCGCCGTAGCCTTGCTGCTGGTGGGAGGAGAATGGCGGCGGGGGCGGCGGTATACCGCCGAAATCCAGCTGCTGCTGTTGCTGCTGATGAGTGATCGTGGTGACCACCGATTCCATATCGGAGGACGAGGTAGCGGTGGGCTGCTGCGGAACGAGCTCGTCCAGCATGCCCTCGATCCAGCTGACCAGATCCGACGGGTTGTAGTGGACGGTGTCTTGTGCCAGGATGTCCGCGGGCGCCGCCGCCCCTAGCAGGCTGTCGAGCTCCTCGATCCGCTGCGCGACGTGGGTTAGATCGCTGGCCCGCACATTATAGCCGGCGTGCGCGAGCAGCTCGTCCATTCCCATCGCCGATTCCTCCTCCTTCCACTGCATCATCGGCTGGAAATCGCCGCCCTGCGCTCCTACCGGGATCATCCGGCTCTTCCTTTCGTAGACCGCCTCGAGCATATCCATATCCTCCATTCTCTCGCTCGCTCCTGCTATGATCGAGAGTTTTTCTCTATCTGGGTCGATTCAAACCCGGGGTGTGAGGCGCGGTGCTGGATCAGAGGCCAATTGGGTGCTGGAATTCGCGGAGGGATTTCGTCTCCTCTGCGCCGATGAAGACCGAGTGGCGCGCGATGGTAGCGGAAAGCAAGAGGACAGAGAAGAAGAAGAAGGGATGGGAGAGTGGGAATGAGCGGTGGTGGAGATGGTAGTGCCGTGGTGGCTCCGTCGCCCTCCTCCTCCTCGGCGCCTCTGAGCGATCGCCTTGGATCATCCCCTCAACCTAGGTGTCTGCGACACGCATTTTACCCGCGCAATGGGGTCGGGCTGGGAGAAAATTTGGAAAGTAAAACACGTCCTTCCACGGGGGAGTGTTTGGGCATCCAGTAAAAAATTTGGCCCAACTGGCATAGGCATCCGCAACAGTGGCCGTGAAGGCGATGGCCGCCACCAAAAAATAAGATTAACAAGACATTTTAGTGTTAAATCGTTTGTTTGGTTTTGCGGCCTTGTGAATAGTCTTGATTCCGCGAACGAGGATTGCCAAAGATGCTTGTTAGCATGCATCCAAACCCCATTCTTCTGGATCGAAAGCATATAAAATTTCACGATCAGGCAAGTTGATCGACTACAGTTTTACTGTTGTAAGGTTCTCCCGGCCGAAGATTTAGCAATCGCTTCGGCCACGATGTTTGAGCCGCAGCCGTACGACTCGGACATCGCCCGTCCCTTACCCGTCTACACGTCGTTATTGATACGTGGCGCCCTGCTGTGCATCAGAAGCCATTAAATGCGCGGTGAGGACCATAGTGTCCGTACTACTCCGGGAAAATCAATCGGTGATGTCACCCGTAAAAATGCCGCTGACATCGAATAACTGCTTAGGGTTAAGTAGTCATTTGCACTGAACTGATGATACGCATGCTATCGGGTTGCTGGAGCCTCGTTGTCAATGGGGGCAATGGTCAAGATTTAGGCTCCAGTGTGGGGCATCCCTAAAATTCGATACGGCAGGATGGAAGAAGGTTGTCATGAAAACCATACAATATAATCAAGGCCGATAATAAAAAAATTTAGCATACTCTTCTTGCACATGCTGGCCATGCAAAGCTCTGACGACGTTCATGGTAGTACCGTGGCCCATACCGTACTTCTCCTCTAGTCTCTGCGTCGGGAAAAGAAAAGAAGAATGTACGGCATCAAGTGGCACACGGGTGGACCACTGTGATTGGCCCAGGCTTTGAACCAGTCACGGCCACTGGGTCGATGGGCCTTGACTGGCTCATTGGGCGTGGGGCCCCTAGAGCGTTGTACGAACAGACCCAGTTTCCTCCACTCTCTTTTCCGTGGGGGTCCATGGCCACGAGCAGGAGACCTTTAAGCTTTAAAGAAAAATTCGTAAGGTTTGATTTTGTCTCCCAAGCTTGTGTTGCATGTTAACGTAAAGGATAGAGAAGTCTAGAACACCTACTTTAGAATGTGGGATTCACAGACTAAAGAGATCACTGGGTATCAGTATTTTTCTTATGTCCCAGATCTTTGGGAAAATGTGTTGGAAGATCGGTGGCCAGTCTTCAGCAGCAGCCTTTTGGCCAGCCAGCACAAGTCATCCAACTCCAAATTCTTCCAATAATATGAAATAGTTTTTTTTACTTAGGTTTTAAAAATTAGCATTTATTTATAATCTAAATATATTATCAGTTAAGTATATACTTACCTATGAAATAAACACATTCTAAGTTAGCCTGGCAAAGGCAATAAGGGCCCTTTAGGTTACTTCATATCATTCTTCCCTCCTTATGGAGCTATAGCAAGTTCTTAACAATCTAGACTAAATCATGACATTATTCCTTTGAAGTGAAGAAGTAAAGCATGTTTACACTTTGGTGATGTTAAAGTAGACCATCATTCAGCTCCTAGAGATTGATGTTAAGAAAGTTAATTTAGCTAACATTCTTGCTCAAATGTTGGTGAAAACATGTTATAAAACAACTTAGGAGTTGTTAGTTTAGTGGAATAGCTATTCCATAGACAAGGCTATATGGAAAATTGAGGATGACATGAAAAAAATGTTTCTAAATTCATTATAATTTAGATAACAGTCCCAAGGAAGGGGAGAATTGTAGTTATATTGCTATAGTTTGAGCCATTGCTTTATTCATATTCTCTTGTTCCATGACTGTATTGTCATATAAGAAAGTTTTATTGTTTTCTTTCTTTTATGGTTACTTATTATATTATTAATATTTTCATTTACACATCTTTTCTCCATGACCATATGTCTTGGAGAAAAATGAACCACAAAAATATTTTTAAAATATTCTATAACTTAGATGATTTATGGTTGGGAAGTTAGCCTAAGGTTCACTCCTTGTTCATTTCATTAATATCAAAATAACATGTTCTTTGGGAATGTTCTTTTGGGAATGGTGGAGGAGTAGGATATTAATATTGATGAGAAGTGTAGCATCAGTGATAATGGTCATGACAAGGAGAAGGAGACTTTTTGATAATATCATCTTGAGGCAAGGATGTTATATTATTGAGGTTCAAAGTGACATCAAGGATGTAAAGGATTCTATCAATCTCATTAAGGATTTTCTACTTCACATGGATGTTTAAAGTTTGAATCAATCCATTATCTATGATTACCATTAGTACATCAAGCATGCTATAGAATGGAAGTTATCACTAGATGTTTGTAATGGCCAAGAGTTTGATTACTAATTATAGTTCCAGGAATGATGTTAGTTTCAGAACCCTTCTAATGACAAGGTGAAAATTGAATTTTTTTATAATGAAGCTTATAGGCTATCTTTCTTCGTGGTTCAAAGTTAATCCAAAATTGACTTCTTGGAGTGAGTTGATAAAAATTTCCATGCTCTGTTTATTAAGAAGTTTTAAAAAGTTGATCTCATGAACCATTTCCTAAAGATCAGATAAAGGACTTTGCCTTTAGATGCATATACTTACAAGTTTTATGATTTTTGCCTTTAAGTCTCACATGCATCTATAATGAGCTATTAAAGGCGCTAAAAGTGTGGATGTGCAATAAAATGTCAAGAAGGATTTTCTAGCAACATTGGTTGATGCTTTCATTAAGGCTTAGATCCTTTTTGCCAAAACCACTAATCAATTTAGTTCACTCTAATGGTCAACAAAAGGCTTCTTTATTACTAATTAAACAAATAATATCAAGTCAACCACCTTTTGGGCTAAGTCATGTTACCCTCCTCCAATATGAATCTCCCTTTCCCTTACTTGTCAAATTGAACTCCAAACATTTGGTCTATCAAAATTTAGTACCACTCTGTGGTCCTCCCCTTTTGGAGTTGATCTTGCTACTCTAAACTTAAAGTCGAATCTTTTGGTTCTTTATTATTATAATTAGTTATTTTTAGTTGATTTTGGCAATCTAGCTATAGTGGAGTGTGCTGAGAAGTTATCAATTGCCATGGAGACACTAATCAAGTGTTAGCAAAAAATTCTTGCATAGCCAAATTATTCATTTCTATGCATTTGATCTTTCATATACTACTTCATAAACACTTGTAGCACATTTTTTATCTCTTCCAACCCCTCCAATGAAGCTACATATAAAGGATCAACACTTTAATACCACTATTAAGACTTTGATCATCTTGTAGAATTTACTTAGAGAAGAAAAGATATATTGCAAGGAAAGAAGAAAATGAGAAAGAAAAGAGGAAAACCTAAATCAATAATTTATCTTACTTTTATATGTTTTTGCCTATATTATCTCTTTTATAACATATTGAAATTACTCATATGACTCATAACACATGATCACAACAACCAACATTCCGAAACTCAACCAAAATACTGTGATAATAGTTTAATTAATATCACACCATTTCTAGGAAACACTAAAATTGATGAAAGTATTTTTGTATAGAGACAATATTGAAAGTGATACTATAACAAACTCTAAATACTTTCACTTCTACCAGCTTAATCTAATGTTTGATAAGCTTGAAAAAGATTTATTGACTATCCATCACTACTTGAATGTTGTTCAAGTTGAAAAAAATGCCATAAAAAATTGTAAACTTCCAATTGATGAAGTTTACATTGACATCACTATTGTCTAAAATTTAAGAAGAAAGGAATGGAGCCAACAACCTTTAATTGGATTGGATGTTCATATTTATTGGAAGTACATGTGCAACATCTATTGTACAAGTATGAGGAAAAATAAGAATACTATTTCTGAAGTTGATTTGCACCTCCACAATACATATAGAGGTGGTTTTTAATCCATTGTCATTTAACATTGAAAAGACACTATTGAGAAGTGATTAATTTTCATTAAAACTATATGTTAATTGTTCTAAGATTGGGGCCATTGGATAAGGTGAAAATGTTTTGATAACAATGCTCAATTGACATTTTCACAAATAATTATCAATGAATAATAAGATCAATGGCCATTGTGAAAGATGTTGGATTTGAGTGAGAAAGTATAAGATTATTAATATTATCATGAAGGCCAAGATGGAAATGTTTCTTGAGAGATATATTCCATAAAATATTAGTGGCAAGTATTTGGAACTCAAATGTGTAGACAAATGCAAACTTAAAGCTTTCACAGAGTGCTTGTTAAAATGATTTCATAGCTCTCACAAAAACCATATGGTTTGAACAAAATGAAATTAAGTACATATTTTTTCAACCATGTATATGGTTTATATATGCATGTTTTTTCTAAAGCAATAGTTATAAAGCTATAGTTGTCAATATATAGAATATATGGTTCTATGAAACCTATTATGCAACTAGAATTCAACCTATTTTCTATTATAGATAACATATGATTGAGAAACTATAAACTGATATGGTTTTAATTTAGTTATCTCAAGTATTATTATAATAGCAGAATATAGTCTAGTTTTTAATATAGTTAACATTCTAATGTATATATGTAATACAAAATTGGAACACAATATAGATAACATCAATTATTATTTTAAAACTGAAACACAATTTAACTCTATAATATGAATCATATTTTGGTTTATGAGCCAACACGGTGTGGAAGTGTGTTGTTTTCCTTCCAAAACCTAATTTTAACTACATATAAAAGCATTTTTAATTGCAATAGTAATGGTACATATCAACCAATATAGAATCAACTTGGAAATTCATGACAAATTAAATCCTAAGATTGGGGCTATTAAATAAAATATATTTTTTCAATGAAGGAATCAAACAACCATCATTCATGATTGGCTTTGGATTAATCTATCTTATA